CAGGTGCACCAGGACACGCAGGCAGTGGAACCAGCCCGTGCCCCACTGCGGGTGAAGCTCTGCAGCCGCTGCAGCAGCCCGGCCTCTCGGGGGGTGCACAGAGCCGAGGGGACCCCTTGTGCTCCCAGCCCCGGGCTGTGCTCACGGTGCTCGGAGCTGCGCTGGGAGCTGGAGGCGCTCAGTGAGGAGTACCGCTCCTGCCTGAGCCGGCTGCGCCAGTGCCGGGAGCAGCTGAACCGCGGCAGCCGGGCACAGGTGGGAGCCCCCATCCCGACCCTCGGCCTGGCACAGACCCCCTCCTCTGTGCCGTGCAGGGGGATGAATGACACGTTTGCTGGGGCTGGGATGAGAAGTGGCATCCCCCAGCACACCCCCAGTAACACAAGCTTCTCCTGGCAGAGCGGTCCCCGGATCCCTCTCCTGGTGGCAGTGGCAGCAGTGGCCATCGCCACCTTCCTGGCGAGTTACAGGCTGTGAAGGAGCTCCCTGAGGACTGACTTCACTGCAGGAACTGACCTGCTTCACCAAAAGCAACCTGACCTCTCCACACCTTCTGCAGTTTTGTGTGTGCACACCGGGCTCGTATCCCGAGCTGGTGTCACTCCAGACAGCTCCCGATGGACACGGGGACATCTCCCCTCCTGCTCTCATTGCCCTGCTCCTGCTCAAGGCTGCCCTGCCCAGGGAGCACTGGGGGATCCACTGAGGGACAAAGCCCCTCTGGCCATGGCTGCTGTGGCCGCACAGCAGGACAGGGACAGGGCATCCTGGGGCGTTTTACATCCCCCAGGCTCTCCTCCTGCATTTACTGCCCCCCTAAATGGGAGGCTCTCATCCTGGGCCATCTCTTCTCTTAGCTGACAAAGAAACCCAGCTCAGGGGGGCTCTTCAGCAGTGTCCTCACGTGTCCTGAGCAATTCTCACACCCAGCAGACCCTGTTCTACCCCACTCCTCCAGCCTCTCTAGTGGCTGAGCATCCCCACAGCCATACCTGCTTCCCTTTCACCACCAGCACAAGAATTCACCAGAAACATGGTTTTAAAGTGCCTTTTGCACCTGCACCGTGCAGGTTTTTCAGCAGCACTTGCCCCTCATTCATGTGCAGGCTCAGACACAACACAGGCCATGACACCAGCCCTCCTGGGAAGTAAATATACCTGAAATATACTATACATGTAGTAAATAGACATGGAGCTACAATAAATGTCATTAATTCAAAGCACCGTGGTGTTCAAATCATTTATTAATCTTCAGCTGCCCACTGCAAATCAATACACACTGACTTTGCAGGGTGTGATGTGCAGGCAGGCAGGGCCGAGGCAGCAGAGCATCTGGGAGCACACACACGTCCACTCTGGTTTTTTTAAAGAACACGTATTTGGTTCTGCCACCAGCCCGGGTGACTGTCACAACTCAGCCTTCAGTGCTCAGGGACCATGAGATGCAGGGGACAACACACACAGGGAAACGGATCTTCTGCCTTGCTCCCGATGCAGCCAGGAAGGCTAAAAAGTCAGACTATGCTCGTATTTCACAAGGCAACCGCTGGAAGAGACACGACCTCGCTCGAAATGCAGAGATCCACAAAATCAGTCTGAGCACCGAAAGCCTCCCTGAGCTCGTGGCTCCAGGCGGCCAGCACACCCCCGAGCTCCGCGCACAGGCTCTCCGGGACGCTGAACGAGCAGATCTGGACGCTGAGCCCATCCTTTATCCGGGGGCAGGAGGCCCGGGCCGTGAACACCCTCAGCGGGGTGAGCGCCAGGCAGTTCTCGGCGCCCTCGGCGAAGGTGTACACGGCGGGGTAGCCCAGCAGCACCCCGGCCACGGCGCACAGGTTCCAGTCGCCGGCGGCGACCTCGCTGGCGGTCACGGGCTCGTCGCTGGCGGCCTCGGTGTCCCGCAGGTGGCCCAGGAG